GCACTGGGAATGCTGCAGCGGGAAGGCTGCAGCGGGAAGGCTGTGCTGGGAACGCTGCACCGGGAACGCTGCACGGGGGTTCTGCAGGGAATTCCTCCCTTCCAGGCCGGGGATGGAGCTCCCGCGGCCGCTGGGGCTGCCCAAGGCCGGCCTGGGTGGCGTCACCCTGATTATTTTATAAAATCAGGCTGCCCTGATTTTTAAAATTTGTTTCTTTTTATCATTATTTAAAAAGTTTAAAGTTCTTTTAGAAGTTTTCTATGCCTTCCGATGCATATGTATTTCTACTGGAGCTCTCAGTCAAACGAGATATAAATAGTGTAGATAAATATTTTTTTACCCTGGGGTGTCCTTGGGGTTTGGGTGCTGCAGGGTGTCCCAGGGGTGCCCCAGCCCCCATCTGTGGGTGCTGCAGGGTTTGGGTGCTGTAGGGTGTCCCAGGGTTGTGGGTGCTGCAGGGTTTGATGCTGCAGGGTGTCCCAGGGCTGTGGGTGCTGCAGGGTGTCCCATGGGCTGTGGGTGCTGCAGGGTTTGGGTGTGCAGGGTGTCCCGGGGGGGGGTCCTGGAGGGTTTGGGTGCTGCAGGGTGTCCCAGGGCTGTGGGTGCTGCAGGATCTCCCTGTCCCTGGGGTGTGGGTGCTGCAGGGTGTCCCGGGTGGGGTCCTGGGGGGTTTGGGTGCTGCAGGGTGTCCCATGGGCTGTGGGTGCTACAGGGTGTCCCTGTACCTAGGGTGTGGGTGCTGCAGGGTGTCCTGGGTGGGGTCCCGGAGGGTTTGGGTGCTGCAGGGTGTCCCATGGGCTGTGGGTGCTGCAGGGTTTGGGTGCCGCAGGGTGTCCTGGGGGGTTTGGGTGCCGCAGGGTGTCCCAGGGCTGTGGGTGCTGCAGGGTGTCCCTGTCCCTGGGGTTTGGGTGCTGCAGGGTGTCCCGGGGGTGCCCCAGCCCGGGTGTGGGTGCTGCAGGGTGTCCCTGTCCCTGGGGTTTGGGTGCCGCAGGGTGTCCCAGGGCTGTGGGTGCTGCAGGGTGTCCCTGTCCCTGGGGTGTGGGTGCCGCAGGGTGTCCCGTGGGGTTTGCTCACCGGTGCGCGCCGGCTGCGCGGGGCTCTCGGGGTGCCGGTGCCGGTGCCAGCACTGCTGCAGGCTGTCCCCCGCCGCCAGCAGCCCCCCGCAGCTCAGCGTGTTGGTGAGGAGCAGCAGCCGGCCCGAGAACAGCGAGCGCCACGAGCGCGGCAGCATCCTGCGGCACGGCACGGTACCGGTACGGCACCGGCACCGGGACAGAACGGCTCGGCACGGCACCGGTACTGGCACGGGGACAGAACGGCAATGTTACTGGCACGGCACGGCACCGGGACAGCACGGCCAGGCACAGCATGGCACGGTACCGGCACGGCACTGGGACAGAACAGCACGGTACCGGTGGGTCACTGCGGGGCCACGGTTGGGACAGGGCCCCCCAGTTACCCCAGTGCCCCCCAGTTCAGTTCCAGTCACTGCAGGGACAGGGCTCCCAGTGCTCCCAGTTACCCCAGGACCCCCCAGTGCCCCCCAGTTCAGTTCAGTCACTCCAGGGACAGTGCCCCCAGTTACCCCAGTGCCCCCCAGTTCAGTTCCAGTCACTGCAGGGACAGGGCTGGGACAGGGCCCCCAGTACCTCCCCAGTCACCCCAGTTCCCCCCAGTTATCCCAGTTCCAGTCACTGCAGGGACAGGGCTCCCAGTGCTCCCAGTTACCCCAGTTCCAGTCACTGCAGGGACAGGGCTCCCAGTACCTCCCCAGTTACCCCAGTGCCCCCCAGTTATCCCAGTTTAGTCACTACAGGGACAGGGCTCCCAGTGCCCCCCAATTATCCCAGTGCCCCCCTGTTCCAGTCACTGCAGGGACAGGGGTCCCAGTGCCCCCCAGTGCTCCCCAGTTACCCCAGTTTAGTCACTGCAGGGACAGGGGTCCCAGTGCTCCCAGTTACCCCAGTACCCCCCAGTGCCTCCCAGTTCCCCCCAGTGCCCCTGCGCGCCCCCCGTTATCTCTGTGCCCCTCCACTTCCCCCGCTGGGTCCCCAGCGCCCCTTCCCGGTCACCACCCGGTTCCCGGCGCCTCCGGTGCCCCCCAGTTCCTCCCAGTTCCCCCCCCGCCCCTACCGGGCGCTACCGCCGCCCGCCCGCGGAACCGGCGAGGGCCACGTGACAACAGCAACTTCCGCTTCCGGCGCCGCCATGACACCTACAGGGGCCGCCATGACACCTACAGGGACCGCCATGACACCTACAGGGGCACGGGGGCCGCCATGACACCTACAGGGTCACAGGGCGCCGCCATGACACCTACAGGGTCACAGGGGCCACCATGTCACCTACAGGAGCACACGAGGCTTCCATGATACCTACAGGGGCCACCATGTCACCTACAGGAGCACAGGAGGCTTCCATGATACCTACAGGGGCCGCCATGACACCTACAGGAGCACAGGAGGCTTCCATGTCACCTCCAGGGGCAGCAGCTGGCCCAGGGGCTTGTTGGGGGCCAGCTGGGCACGGCCCAGGGGATGCCCGCGGTGCCCCAGCCCTGCCCTGTGCCTGACACCCCGGTCTGGGGGCAGCAGAGGGGCTGGGGAGCCCTGGGTGCTGGGATATCCCCGTGGAGGTGGCCATGGCGGGCGGCAGCAGCGCCGTCGGGGCTGGCACCGCCGCTCTCCCCACTCTGCTGCTTCCATTGGGGTGCCCCAGGTGTGGGGAGACCCTCCAGGCTGTGCCCAGAACCTTCGGGATTCCTTGAGAGGCTTCTCTTCGGAGCTGGAACGTTGACCCCGCGTCACCTCGGTCGTGGGGGGCAGCGGGAGGGCCGGGGGGACGCTGCTGCTGCTGCTGCTGCTCGGAGTTTGTCACTCCCGAGGACATCCTGCAGGGAACTGAGGCTTCTTCCTCAGCCACGTGGGGCAGATCTGGCTGGGACCTGCAGGCAGAGATCCCCTCACCCACAGCTGCTTGTCTGCCAGGATTGGTGGGGGGCAGGAAGGCACAAAACTCAGCAGGTTCTAAAAACATCAGCTTTATTCCCTCTGCCAGGAGCCCCGCTCCTCCTCAGAGCCCATCCGGACCCCTCCTGACGCCGGGGGACAGCGCCAGGCCAGCTCTACCTGTAGGAATTGGCCTTGTGCTTTGGCAGGAAGGTGAAGCCGGGCGGGACGGGGCCCAGGAGCAGCTCACTGGGAGAAAGAACCGATCCTAGAATTAATCCAGAGGCCTCAAATCCCCGCCAGTGCCACCCCAGCCGTGGGCAGGGACACTCCCCACTAACCCAAGCTGCTCCCAGCCCTGTCCGGGCACTTCCAGGGAGGAGAAACAACAAAACCAAGCCCAAGGAGGGGTCAGTGTTCAATCCCCAATGGCCCTGTGGGCCTACAGGGGCTCTGCCATGTCCCTTTTTAGCAATTTGATGCTTCACTACCTTATTTTGATCCAATCATCCACGTTTTGGCTGGCCATGAGGGTCTCCAGGTAATCCCTCCCCAGGTAATAGGGTGGGCGCTCGTTGATTTTCTGAGGTAGATGCTCCAATAACCCCACTGGAATGTACCTGGAACAAAATGAAATGCAAGAGCAGTGAGGGCTAGGGGTTCATTGATGACTGTTCACAGATCCTCCTGGCCAGGCAGGGTTACCTGCACAGGAAGGAGAGCCATTCCAGCAGGAATTTCCTGGTTTTCTCCACTCCCTGAGTGTCTGACCCCCAGTGCTCGAGGCCGTAGTTGGTGAAGTCCTTGAGGATCTCAAATCTCTCGCTGGAGGAGATATCCCAGTGTCTCTGCTCCTTGATTTCCGTGAAAAGCCAGGGTTTGATGAGCGCCCCTCTGCAGCCAAAACACAAAAAAAAGGGATTGTTATTCCCGTCACTGATGCTCCTGAAGATTTGAGACACTTTCCAGCACTGATTTCCCAGCTAATCCTGCTTTAAATCTTCTTTTCCATTCCAACAAGAACTTCCGACTGATACAAGTTGATTTTACCAATTGTCAGAGTGGTTTCACCGAGAGGAAATCCCATGCTTTGGGGTTTGTTTAGGGATTTTTTAATCCTATTTTTTTTTCCTCCTCTTGAACCAGCAGAGCTCAGGAGTGAAGGGAAACACAGGCACTTGCCTTGCAATCATGATTCCAGAAACTCCCATCTGCATGGCTCGATTTGCATCTTCATAGGACAAAATATCCCCGTTTCCTGCCCGGAAAGGAGGGAGAAGCCAGAGGTCAAAGAGATCCGTGAGGACAAGTCAAAGTGAGCTAATCCAGGCATGGGATAAAATTCAAAATGGACACAACGTCCAAGAGCCAGATGGTCCAAAGAGGCTCCTGGTTTAGATTCCCAGGGATGTTTCTGATGGATGTTCCCTTACAAGGAAAAAAGGAGCCTTCTCCTCTTTTCTCCTTCGCTCTCAGCTCGTTTCCTTGAAGGTTTTGGGATTTTGTGCCACAAAGTGCAAGAAAACCCCTTTAAAATGGGGTTTAATCACCCCAAGCGATTTGTGTCCCTTCCCTCAGCAGCATCAGGGATGCTCCAGCCTTTCCCCCAGGCTAAGCACCCTTGGGAACGTTGGGAACACGTTCTTTCCCCCCATTTTGGGAGGACCCGAAGCAGAAGGAGCACCAGAGGGAGCCCCACATACCGAAGAGAGGCATGGGGCTGGCAAGGCGGGCGCACTCGGCGATGTAGAGCCAGTCTGCACTGCGGGTGTAGCGCTGCTCCCGCGAGCGCCCGTGCAGCTGCGGAGAGAGGCAGGGACGGCGGCTGCACCGGGGAGGGACAGGGACACAGGGACAGGGACAGAGGGACAGGGACAGGGACAGAGGGACAGGGATGGGGACAGGGACGGCGGCTGCACTGGGGAGGGACAGGGACACAGGGACAGGGATGGGACAGAGGGACAGGGACAGGGACAGAGGGACAGGGACACATCCAGGGACGGCGGCTACACCGGGGAGGGACAGGGACAGAGGGACAGGGACAGAGGGACAGGGACGGGGACACATCCAGGGACGGCAGCTGCACCGGGGAGGGACAGGGACAGACGGACAGGGACAGAGGGACAGGGACAGAGGGACAGGGATGGGGACACATCCAGGGACGGCGGCTGCACCGGGGAGGGACAGGGACACAGGGACAGAGGGACAGGGACAGAGGGACACAGCCAGGGACGGCGGCTGTACCGGGGAGGGACAGGGACACAGGGACAGGTATGGGACAGAGGGACAGGGACAGAGGGACAGGGACAGAAGGACAGGGACGGGGACACATCCAGGGACAGCGGCTGCACCGGGGAGGGACAGGGACAGAGGGACAGGGATGGGACAGAGGGACAGGGACAGGGACAGAGGGACAGGGATAGGACAGAGGGACAGGGACAGGGACAGAGGGACAGGGATAGGACAGAGGGACAGGGATGGGGACACATCCAGGGACGGCGGCTGCACCGGGGAGGGACAGGGACACAGGGACAGGGATGGGACAGAGGGACAGGGACAGAGGGACA